TTGAATTTTTTTCAAATATGTACATGCATCCCATGACGCTCGTGTAGAGTCAGAAGACCGCTTTCAGGAATGCTATTTTAGGTTCTTGGCATTGAACCCATGCCACAGTGCTTTTACCTACTGAGCCACCTCACTGTGCCCCACCCAACCACACACCCGATTTCCTCCTGAGACTGGCCTCTAACTAGGTAGGTAGCCATGGATGACTTGTAACCTCAAATTCTACTGCCTCTACCTCCTAAGTGCTAGGATTACATGGGGGTGTGCTACAGTACTGTTTGCATGGTGCTAGGTACTGAGCACCCATCACCTTGTACAGACTAGACGAGCTCTCCACCAACTGAGCCAGCCCTGTTTTAAGCATCGCTTTGGGCAACTAAAGTACAGCCCGAATTGGATAATGGTCTCTTATTTTCAGAGTCATTTATATTTTTTAATCACCCAGCGAGTACTAGCCTCAGTGCTTCCACAGTCCTTTAACTTGACCTAGTAACTGCCTGGAAGAGTCTGTCCTCAAGGAAGATGCTACAGTGAGTTAGGGGTAGGGCTAGAAGAATCTAGATCTTCTCATCCCTACAGGAGGGCCCTAGTCTGTACAGACAACACTAGCTCTGAGTCCTGTAGCAGCCCAAGGGCGCCTGGAGCATGCGCTGTTGAGTCAAGGGCTCAATAATGCAGGCAAACATCTGAGCTAGAAGGTGAGTGGAAAGAACAGCCCCTCTTGCCCTTTCCCCTTCAGCTGGTCCCTCCCAGAGCCACCTCACCTTCTGGTTGTTGGAGACAAGGGTGAGGGCCTTGTGCAGGGTCAGGAAAGCCGTTGCAGCGGACTACAGAGGCGTAGAACTTGGCTGATGCCTTGGGGATCCTTGGCAAAGCAGGGTCAGAGCGGTTCACATAGTGCACACCGAACCTCTCTGCGAAGCCTGTGGCCCATTCAAAGTTGTCCATGACGCTCCACACCGTGTACCCTCGAAGGTCCACCTTATCCTGTACAGCTGCTCAAACACAGGCCTGGTGTGAGCATTCTTCACATCAAGACACCAGGGTGCCAGGCCTCCTGAAGCCAGGCTCATGGTTTTCCCCACTGTCCTAATAGTAGAGTGAGTTCAGCTCTGAGGCCCCATCCTGTGTCTTAGCAGGTTCTCTATAGTGGATGTGCCGGGCCATTGGTATCTTTCTAGAAAGGCTCAGTTCTGAGTGGAGCTTAGGTGGCCTGAGCTAACCCCGCTGCTTTCTTCTGTAGCTCAGGAGACTGACCTGAGTCAGGACCCTGAAATACTCTTCCCCATGGAGAGGCAGGAGCTTTTAGAAGCAAAAGATCTGAGCTGTACTAGGGCCTCTGGCCATTTCCTTGGCTGTAGTAGAGCTCAGGGTCTACATCCATATCATACACATAGTATGCAGCCGTGTGTTCATCTGAGTGCTCTGTGTGGGTGCGTGGAGAGGCCAGAGATGATCCTCGGTGTCTGGGGATTGACTTCAGGTCTTATGGCTGTACAATGGGCACTTTACCGACTGAGCTATCTCTCCAGTCCTACTGCCTTAGAAACAGAAAGCCCAGAGCACGCTTGGCCTGCTGCAGGACAGTGATGTGCAGAGATGCCAAGAAGCAAGGAAACCTAAAGGTTTCAGAGGGCTCAAGTCAGACACTAAGGTCTAGCCAGTTCAGGCAACTGGTTTTACTTGTACATAAATCTAGGAAGGAAAAGACCTTAGATTGTAGCCTCAAACAAACACTTCACCTCAAGAGCAAAAAGCCTTTGGGATGCCAGGGCATCCTGGACACCGAGATGCTGCAGCCGTGATGGCCTCATTTGGGCCAGGCAGGGTGGAAGGGAGAGCTCTTACCTTTGAGGGCTTCATTAATGTAGCTGCGGAGGTAGTAGATCCTGTCAGTGTCATTGAGTTCTGGGTCTCCTCGTCTGGACACTCCATTCTCTGTGATGTAAATTGGAGGGTTGTTGTACTCCTCCTTCAGCCAGTTCAAGATCCTCCGGAAGCCAAAAGGGGTCATCTTCAGCCAGAAGGAGCCAGAGGCTGGCCAAGAGCGGTCTGCGATGGAAGCAACTCCCCTGCGAGTTCACAAGGTAAGGATCAGCTCTTGTTTACGAGCTCCAGGTCTTGCTTCTGGAACCTGCCCTTCCCACAGAACACACTTCACAGGAGCATAACAGACCTGCATGTCCTGTCCTCTGCTGAAATACAAGCACTACCTTCACAGAATGGGTCCTCGAGCCACCCTTCCAGAGAATGACCTCCATTTTGGAGGTCTCCATCTGTGTAGTGGCAAGAGCAGACAAGTGAGGCCCATCTCAAATGTCCACATCCCTGACCCTTCTAAAAGGATGAAAAAGAAAAGGGGAACAGGTGTCTGACGAGCCCTGCGTTTGCACAGAGGAAGACTTCTCTATCCCTAGACTCTTTACAGCACTTGATTAGATTTCGCTGAAGTGAATATGGTATCTTGTAGGCTCTGGAGGAGGTTCCTGGGAAACTTCAAGACTACAGGGGAGCAGGCAGAGGGTCTGACTCTAGTTCCAGGGAGAGGTGGGAACGTAAGGCTTGTTTGTGAAGAAAGAACCAGAAAGACGCTTGGCGAGAAAAACGATGAAAAAGAAGGGCTGGAGAGGTATCTCTGTAAAGTGCCTTCCTGGTAAGCATGAGTCCATGTTAAAAGAAAATAGAGGGAAGGGGTGTGGCAGTACCTGCTTCTGCTCCCGGTGCTGAGTAGGCAGACACAGAAAGCCCTGCACACGCATGAGGACACACACACACAAGGTACAATAACTTTTGCCATTACAAATAAATCTCAACTAAGGTCTACAATTGTAAATAATTAATAGTAATAATAACCTCTCTCTCTCTCTTTTCTTGGT